ATGATTTTTGTTGAATAAGTGATATCATGATTTTAATTCATAAATTTTAATGAAATTCATAAAATAATGAACTCCATAAAGGCTGCAGGTTCGAATCCCGCTAGTATCGCTTTATCAGACCAACAATTTCTAAAATTATTCTAAATATTTATAATAATATTTTTATATACTTATAGACTAGATTTATTTATTAATATAAAAATTTATTTAATATTTTATATAAATTTACTCTATCTAATAACTAAAAATCTTATTTTAGATTAATATTTCGAACTATCCCCGCCAGTTAAAGCCGAAAAACTAAAAAAATAAGAAATAAAAAATATTATAAATTTTTATTAAAAATAATAAAAATATAAAGGCTCCCGTCTAAAATATATTATTAAATAGATAAATTATAATTAATTAATTATAAAATCTGCTATATATATTACTTATACTAGTTAGATTATTAAAAACTTCTATCTAAAATATTTTTTTAAACAAATAAAATAAAGAATATAATATTAATTTTTAATAATTTAAGATAATTTAATATTAATAATAATATTCTAAAGTTAAATACTATAACTAAGTTAATTTTAAAAATTTTTAATAAATATTAAGAATATAAAACTATTATTATTTATATTATTAATTATAATCTCTAGTAAATAATAGAAAATATTATACTTATAAAAAACTAAAAAAATAATTATAGTAAAAATTTTATCTATATAAAATCCAGATATTAAATAAAAATCTAGAATAATCTCGTAATAATCTATATCTTCTAATCTAGACTAATTTAATAATCAATTATAATCGACATCTTACTAATATTTAGAAATTAAAAAAACAACTAGATATATATTTTATTAGATAATTCTATCAGTTTTTCTTTAATCTGAGTATGGTTGGGGATAGTAGACTTATAGAAAAAAAAAACAGTAAAATTATTTATTTATTTAAACTAAATATATCCGACTATTTAAAAGAAAAAATAATATATAATAATAAAATAAAAAATCTAATTATAAAAATTCTATTTATTATAAATAAATACAGAGCTCTAAAAATTATTAATATAAATATATATAAAAAAAACTTATATTTTATTAATTTTTTATTTAATATCTGAGTCACTATTTATTGAAATATAATAGAAAAATTCTTCTTTTTATAGTCTTCTTATATATAATAGATTATAGAATTAGTTCTAAAATTCTTAATATCTAAATATTAAAATAGATAAAAGTATAAATAATAATAAATATATAAAGTATTATTTAAAAATATAGTATTTTTAAGAAATTTAGTCTAGATTAATAAGAATTTCTTTTAATTAAATTAAATTAATAGTTTACTAATTTATTTTTAATTATAAGTAAAAATAGTTATATTTTACTAATTTTTAAAAATAGAAATCTCTTTTTTTAAAATTAAATATTAGATAATTTTTCGATCTTTAGTAAGACGCGTAATATAAAGATTAAAAAAAATAAAAAAAATAGAAAAAAAATTAATCTTTATTTTAATATAATAATCCGTAAAGATTTAAAATATTTAAAATAAAAATATAATAATATTATCTATATATTAATTAAAAATATATTATTAACTAACTATATTAAATAAGAGATAGTTATCTATAATATAAATATTTAAAACTAAAAAAAAAAAAATCTATTATATTTATCTAATAAATTTAATTAAGATAAATATATTATATAGTTTATACTATTATATTAAAATATAATATATCTAGATATTAAGATAAATATAGCTTAATTTATTAGATTAGATAGTAAATAAAATTTCTTTAAGTTTTTTTAATTATAGACTCGCAGTTATAGAAACTAAATAAAAAATTAATTAATTTAATTAATTATTATTCTTATTTTTATAGCTTATTGAGCTATATTTAATTAATAATTTTAAAGATAATTTAAGTATAGTTTATAATATTATTTTTAATTAATCTGTCTGTATTATTATAGAATAAAAAGAGAGAGGAAAGTAAAATAATTACTTTTAATAAAATTTTTCTTAAATTTATATTATAGTTTTAATAGAGAAAGCTAGATAAGCTGAATAAACTAAACTAGCTAGATAAGCTGAATAAGTTAGACTAGCTAGATAAGTAGAATAAACTAAATAAATTTTAATAAAATATATTCTAGAACTATAATAATTTAGGTTCTGTTAATAAATAATACTTTTAATTATAGATTATTATATAGAGAATATAAAATAAAGAATATAATTATATATATTTATATCTTATATTAGTATATAAAATTATTTTTTATATAAAAATAGAAATATTACTTATTATTAACTAATAATTAAAGTTCTAATAAATTAATTAGAATAAGATAAATAGACTCTTTCTATTAATATTTTTTTTAATAAAATAAAAGATTATTAATACTACTTTTTAAAAAGTTGATTATAATAATTAGATTAATTAATAATTAACTATCTACTATCTCTATCTATACTAGACCTAAATAAGTAAGACGTGATAGTCTTAACACCAAGAATAATTAATTCGGTTAACTATTCTATTTTTTCTTATATCTTAATCAGATAAAATTTTGGGCTTAACCTCTCTGTTAACCTGCGGGTAGGTTAAAAAATTTCTCATAACCTGGCCTACCCTCCCCTTTAGCCAGTCTACTCTACCTGTGACCCTGCACCTTGACAGTTGACTTATTCTTTAAGTAGGTCTAGGAGCTGGAAACAGAGCCGACTTGCTCTATCAATTTAGCCCTGATCTATATATACCATTCTGCGGGAGTTTTTCGACGAAAATCGCCACGACCCTTGATTACGCGGCAGTTCCAGGGACAGACTATATATACTACGATGAATCAGGATGGTTATGATCATATACCTCAAATACTATCTGTTCCCTGGTTGCCGGAATGCCATGGGTTCACAGAAATAAATATACTTACTAGTATCTGTATATGTTAATTTAAAAGATTTTACAGAGCTAGATATTAAATAACTGCATTTATGAACAGAGGACCAGATGATACAACGTAACCAACTAGGCTTGATTGTTGAGTAAAAGGCTCCTGAGAGGTTGTTTCTCAATTTGATTTTAACCTCAATACTATATTTGGGCATGGTATACATTTGATTGTTTTTCATTGAGCAGGCAGACAGTATGTGAAATTCCTTACATCTCTACTGCTTCTGATCCCCGACACTCTGGGCCTGTGGTCAGAAAAACTGCGTGTTCAGCCATGTCTCTAGGACCTGGGAATTTGTTGTGGTGGAAACTCTCTGTATTTCCTCTGATATTGCTTCTCTCTCTGTCTCCTTGTTTGGTACTACATTACAATGGGTGTGCTGTATGTTCATGAAAAATTGATCCTGCCTAGTGATACAAATAACTGATACGGGTGTCAATAGTCGGCCCGACTGGCGCAATCGGATAGCGCATTAGACTTCTACCGTATTTCATAAGGTTATCTAAAGGCTGTGGGTTCGACCCCCACGTTGGGCTTCAATTAAATAAATTTTGCTTCGCCAACAAAGGAATAAAAAATAGGATGAAAAAAAAACTCTCATCTAATAATTAATTAATCCATGAATTTTTTTTTATCGAATTGATGCTGACTAAGGAGAAATTATATAATCAAAATATGATTAGTATAATTTACCTAATCAGGTAAGTTGATCATTATTTCCTAAAAAGGAAATAGAAAAGTAGAAAAGATAGAGAAAGATAAAATAATAAAAGAAATAAGAAATAATAAAGAATAGAGAAGGAATCAGAATAAGAATAGAAACATAAATGAAAGACTTGATTCTTGTTTCACTAATTTTTATAATTTGAGGAGGTTTCTACCTATATTTATATGTAGATTCCCTCATAGAAAAAAGATTAGTGAGATCAGAATGATTTCAGATTCTAGAGTCCCTAGAATTCTCATGTGAATAGACTAGGCCTTGATCAGCTAGTCATAATGATTTAGTCAACTAGTCTAGAATTCTCATGTGAATAGACTAGACCCTAGTTAACTAGTCAGAATGAAATTATTAGAATTATTAAATAATTCTAGGTCTTTCATGTGAATAAGTGATCTCATGATGATTTTTAATTCATAACTTTTTAATGAAATTCATAAAAATAATGAACTTCATATTGGCTGCAGGTTCGAATCCCGCTAGTGTTATCAGACCAACATTTTTTATATTAAAATTTTAGTTAGCTAACTAAAAAAATGGTATATGGCGAAGTGAAGTCACTACGCTGTGAAGAATCTACTTTACGGGGTAGATAAGCGTGTTGTTAATCAAGTGTCACACCCTAGGTTCTTCCAATGCTGCTCTCACTAGACTGTATCTGAATATTGACTTCAGATATAAGAGTCCATTTATGACTAGATATCTTAACATTGGCGGCCATATAAATCAGGCACGCTAGGACAGGTTAATGAAATCTACTACTACTACTACTAATAATTTTTATAACTTTTTTTTTCTCTAGACTATTTTTTTTTACATTTATACTTATAATCTTATTTCTTTTTAACTAGTATTTTATATTAACATGCTTTATATTCTTATTAATAGTTTTAAATAATCTCTTTATTTAATAAATTATAAAATTAATCGCTAATCTAATTTTATATTTTTTCTAAAATACTAATCCTTTTAATCTATTTAATTATTCTATTTTAGAATTAAATATATTTCTTTTATTTTATTCGGTTTACTCGAAGTCTTATATGTTTAATATTTAGAATTCTTTTTTAAACTATATTTTTTTATATAATTAATTATCTTTCTACATAGATCACTAATTTATAGAAAAAAAAATTAAATTTAGTATTATAAGTAAGTTTAGATATATAGATAATATAAGTAATTCTATTAATTCTTACATAATATTTTTTCCGGCTATTTAGCCGCGAGTTAAGATATAGAATCTTAGGGATTAAAAATAGAAGAAAGAAGAGATTATTGATTTATAAAGTTATTGGTCTTTATAATAAATAAATGTATGGCCGCTTACTAACATAAGAAAAGAAACTTCCCACTGACCCTACTACAATATTTTTGTTATTATTTAGATAATTAAAAAAAAAATCAGAATATAAAAAATCTATTAATATAAGATAGATTAATCTATTAATTAAATAAATAATAGAAGAAAGTATTACTAAATTTAATTTTACACTAATTCTTAGAATTCCTAGAATTAAAGAGATTTTCTAAATAGCTAATATATAAAAGAATTCTATCTTCTATTCTAATAAATAAGATAATAATAATACATATAGCTTTATCTTCTATAGAGATAGAGAGATAATAAGATAAGAGAGATAGAGTATATAATATTAATATAACTCTATCAAAACTGATAAGAATTATTATCGGTCCCCCACCGGAACAAGCACACTATTCAAGTTAGTATGCCAAGCCTGCGGCTATCTATAACAGACTTACCGAGCTTATTTATATTAGTAATTTAGTTATATAGCGTTATTAGTACTTTCTCAGAAGACTCAGAAACTATAGCTGTTAAAAAGTAAAAAAAAATTCATCGCTATATCAATGAATCAGGATTCAGGATCCCGGGATAGATAATATTAATATAAATTACAGTAAAACCTAACTATAAGGATACCCTATATTAGGATATTACATGATATAAGGATAGAAAATTCTACATTTTTTGGTCCCCCATATAAATATGCTTAAAATCGTCTTTTAAAGATTATTCTTACTAACACTTTTTCTCTCATATAAATAGCCTTCTAATATTAGCCTATAACTTTATTTTATGGTCATTTTATCCTACAAAGAAGGTAATTTGAAGATTTTATTATAGTATATATATTCTGGTGTCACGCGGTGTCACATGATATGATATAAGTATAATTATTTTGTATAAAAGTATATAAATACTGTTTATATCTATTTTGATACAAGGATCTCCTCCTTATAAGGATTCGAAAGGCCTGCACGCTATAGATCCTTATAGCCCGGTTTTACTGTAATAGTAATTAAAGTTATTAAGCTAAATCTAGGCCCGATACGGGCTGAATTGGCGGAGTAATTTTAAAACTTTGATTCGCGAGTCCCCACCTCCTCAGACAGGTGTGACGTCACACTCTAGCCAAGGTGAGGTCCGTGAGAGTGCTGTATGTGGTTGCCATTCACGTGACAAGTAGGCAGAGAAGTCTTCGCCCATGATCAGGTAGGTAGCTACCTAAGTATATGGGAATCTAGTTGGTTTTATCTGACATTATCGCTCACTGGAGAGTAAATAAAGCATAGACAACTTCAAGACTGGTTTTTCCTGCTGTATTTTCCTGCTGTATTAAGTACATTATTTAAGAATGGTACCTAAGGTACCCGACCGTTACCAGAAAGAGATTAGAGAGCTTGGAAGGAGACCTCATCAACGCGGAGCCGCTGTTTCGGTGGGGTAGTACGCCACCTTTTTACCTGTATCGGCCTCAAACTTGATGCACTCTCCGTGTGTTCTGTCACAACCCGCCTGGCATTGTTCTATTGACTTTGGCCATGAGGAAAGAGCAACACCACGTCGACGGCGGGTGATCATCCTTTCTAAACATTAATACAGTCGTTATTCCACATCCATATTGCGCATACAGGAAATATTGACTATTTATCCCTCATTTTGATCGCCTTTTGGGGAGCGAGTAAGGTGCGTGGACTGCTACTAAAGACACCGCGACGGTAAAGGTAATTGGGTTACTCAGGGAAAGACAAGACGAAGTAGAAAACCCGAAGGCGTTGGTGGTCCATCTTCGACCCAACCCAATGCCTATCAAATCCCAGAAGAAAATCAGGCGGTTCTTAGCTGAGCCTATCGAAACATCTTCACGCAGCAGTTCAAATGCCTACGAATCAACTCCAGTTAGTACATAAATAAATGGAACCACTGACAACCCCACTCCCCTAGTACCTATCAATTTCTGACTATAAGAACCATCAAGCCATGCCCGAAACCAATATGCGACTCGATCTATGTGAAGCCTGGTGGTGATCACAGATCTAGTCTGCCTTTGAGCAATACGCCACACAGAAACTTGAGCTTGAAAAGCAGCGTCGAAAATGAGTCCGAGGGAAACCGCCATATCAGCGAAAGCCCGAGCTCAAGTATCGCACGGATGGCATCGAACCTCCCCTCAACGATACAAGAGAATGCACTTTCAGATGTGGGAACTAGAAGAAGGTTCGTTCCTCAACTGATGGAGACTGGCAGGCGATCATTTCGTCGCCAATCAACGTCACTCATGCCCCAACGAAGCTCCAATAGCACCGACATCACAGGTGAAAGGCCAACTGGCCCCAGCAAGTACACGCCATATGAATCTCCGTTCTCATATTCAAGCCTTCGTCATCGCCATGAGGCAAGAAGACATTCTTTTCGAGTTCCGGATCTTCCTGCTATACCATCTAGCTGTAGTGAGGCATCTGAGGTATCCGATTCATCCTCACGGTCCGCTTCACCAGGTGCTGTGTCCTGTGAAATTTTAACACAAAGCAGGTTTGGAGAATCCCGTAGAGAGAGTTGCGACGAAGACTTCGCAAAGTACTTACTATCAATTGCTGCCCGCTCGGCAGAGAGGGAATTGAAAGACCAGGCATTGGCGGCCTTCCCCAATGAACAGGTTTACCAACCAGTGGATCACTTCGCCATAGATCGGGAAGAAGAGGATACTCCACCCGAAGAACAGATCAGCTACGGGGGTGCTGCTCATCTAAGACATCGACGGGCGTCCTCCGCCGACCTTTCATTTGAACTTGAGTATATGCGCCGGCACAAGGAAGAGGCGGAAATGAGACACCGCGCCATGGCAGGAACGGGATACCATATTCTCTCACATACAAATTTACCAACTGGTCAATCGTCGGATCCGATAGATACTCGCCTAGTCGATAATTTTAATCGTGAGCGAGAACGGGAGTCCCCGCGAAAAATGCATACCAAAAGCCCTCCCATGCTTGGTGGTGACCTTGTTTTCACCCAGAGTCTGTCACCCCAGACAACTATTTGTGAGCAGCAAACAGGATCGGAACATAGTCATGGCCTTTGTGAATTGTCTGGCTTGTGGCATGCAAGACCCTGTCGTCGTGGTACCCACGAAAACGATGGCCTCTGGATGGGAACATGCAGAATTGATAGGCACAACAACAAAAATCCCAGGGCCTCTCTGCCTGTGGATTTATTGACTTCTGTGTCCATTAGCGAGAGTAGATATCAGCGGGACTCAGGTGAATCTTTGACCCCGAAGTTTGAAAACAGGATGCACACTCCACAGCCAACCGAGTCCGCCTGCTTCCAGGATATTGCGAAACAACGCCCACCGCAAGAGAGCCTAGACTCAGAGATCAATGACGGGTTTGTCACGCAGATCTACAATTATTTATCCATAGGATATCCTTGCGTTGCACGGTACTATGATCATGAGCTCAGCAAGGTTTCCGGCATATCCCTAGCAGATTTGAGGCGGGATGACCTCA